GAGCGAGCGAGTCGGTCAGTGAGCCAGTGAGTCAGACAGGTCTATAAGAATAATTCCAAAGATACGTTACAGTATTAAATACAAGTTGTGTCACAACTTTTTCACAGGCTACATTTTACGTTACATTCAGTAAATAAACAGTAATTGTGTGTTAAAGAGTAGGGAAGTGAGTCCGTAGAGGACGTGTAACGTATTTAATCATCCGTACATGGAATTTGACCAGGGGCGCCCAAAGTTTTGCACGACTGTATGTCAGTAAAACGAGTGAAAAACCCAGTAAGACAGATTTCAGAGTCAGAAAGTTGTAGATATAAAAGATCAGCAAACAGAGCAAAACTGAGTCACTATTCAAGCGCGAGGCTTCAGCTTGAGCCGTGACGGATAAACGTCAATCATCATTAGACTCCTCCTACACGGCCTGCTCTGCTGTCTGCCCGTCAATCAATCCAAACCCGCCCGCTCGTCTAATCGAAACCTGCCGGCCGCGGGTCAGTCATCGGTCACTCCGCCCTCGTCTGTGTTGCTGTGCTGGCTCCTCACTGGCTGCAGTGCTTTTATAATTCATATTTAATCTGTCGCGTCATGAAGCATCACAGAGTTGAGTGGTATTGAATTTGGAGGGAGAGAAAAAGACGCTGCTTCTGTTTTGCCAGTAAAAGTATTGATTTCTTTTTGTCTCTTTGGATTTTGTAATTATATCTTTCTTTGTCTGTTTCAATAGTTTTTCATCAAGTATTTTGTTTCTTAGACAACAAAATAATTTAGTATGTACTGTCTGTACTGATCAAAGGGGAAAATAAAATTATATATGTGTAGATTAATAGCAGAGTCAGCTGGACAGAGAGTAGTGAAGTGCGGTCAGCGAGCATTGGCTCTGACTGTGCGTCACTCGGAAAATCTACAGGATTCTTTAATGAACATTCCGCATTAGGCTACAGCCCTGGCATTCCCTTCATTCCCTTCATTCCCTTCATCCGCAAAATCTCTGCATTTCTGTCATTCCCGTTGTACTCATTATTCCAGTCATTCCCAACATTTCCAGTTTCCCCATCATTCCCATTACTCAAACCATTCTGTCACCCCCATCATTCCCGTCACCCCTGCCACTCCCATTATGACCATCATTTCTGTTGTTTTCATTATTCCAGTCATTCCAGACATTCCCATTATTCCCATCATTCCTGGTGTTCCCATCATTACCACCCTTTTGTCATTCCCATTATTCCCACCATCCTGTCTTCATCATTCCCATCACCCCTGCCACTCCCATTATAGCCATCATTCCTGTAATTTCCATCATTCTTATCATTTCTGTTGTTCTCATTCCCATTATTCGTTCCCATCATTGCCATCCTCCTGTCATTCCCGTTCCCCCCACCATCCTGCCACTCCCATTATAGCCATTATTCCTGTCATTCCCATCATTCATGTTCTCATTATTCTAATCAATTCAGACATTCCTATTATTCCTGCCATTACCATCATCCTGTCATTCCCATTACTCCCACCATTCTGTCATCTCCATCATTGCAATCATCCCTGTCACTCCCATTATAGCCATCATTCCAAACATTCCCATTATTCCCATTGTTCCTGCTGTTCTAATAATAACCATTATACTGTCACTCCCATTACTCCCACCATCCTGTCACCTCATCATTCCCATCACTCCTGCCACTGCCATTGCAGCCATCATTCCTGTCATTTCCATCATTCCTATCATTTCTGTTGTTCTCATTATTCCAGCCATTCCAAACATTCCCATTATTCCCATCATTCCTACCATTCCCATCATTACCATCATTCCCATCACTCCCACCATCCAGTCATCCTCATCATTCCCATCGCCCCAGCTACTCCCATTATATCGTTTCTGTCATTCCCATCATTCCTATCATTTCCATTGTTCTTGTTGTTTCCATTGCCCTGTTGTTTCATTCTCATCATTCCAGTCAATCTAGTTGTTCCCATCATCCCTCTTTTTGCCATCATTCCTGTTGTTCCTGTCATTCCCATTGTCCTTTCACTTCCATTGTTCCTTTCAGTTCCATTGTCCCCATCATTCTCTTCATTCCCACCAGTGCAGTCATTGCGATCGTTCCCATCATCCCTGTCTTTGCATTTGTTTCCATCATTCATCTCATTTCCATTGTTCCTGTCACTCCCATCATCCCTGCCATTCTAGTCACTATGATTGTTCCCTGTCTTAGCCCTCACTCCCGTCATTCCAGGCGTCTCCAATGCTCCCTCCTTTCCTGCCGTTCTCATCATTCCAGTCATGTCACCTCTGATCCCGCTGGTCTAATTTAGCCGCTTTTCTCCAACTGCAGCTCCTGACAGCTTTGCCTGAGAGCCGCGTGATGGTTTTGAAGTCCTCAGCGCGTCACTGAGCTGCCCGACGCTCCGCTGGAAATCAAAGGGTGCCGTACAGTCGGAACAGTGTGCCTGTTTCTCTCTTTCCTTTTGTTTTTTAATCCTTTCAAATGTTCTTCCTCCTCAGGATGGGAACTTCACCAGGAATCACACGGGAAAGGCGCCGGAGAACGTGAAGTTTGATAGGACAGTCTGCTTTCGTGGATTTTGGTGAGTTGGGAATATTGTGAATTTGTGAGTGTGTGTGAGTGTGTGAGTGTGTGTGTGTGTGTATGTATGGGCCTCATGAACACACACACACAGCCAAGTTGAATCTTTTAACTCCGGTGGGATCCCATTAAACATTTACAATACAAACCTCCCTCTCCGAGAGCCAGCGGATCACTGTAGAGCGGCGGAGATGACACCAGCGGAGGCGTCTCATGTAATGTAAATGATTGATAAGCGCAGAGAAATGACCTATATGATTCAGATGCCTTATCTCCGAGGAGCTTGGCCTTTTGTTCAAAGCCGGGGCTTATCTGAGCAAACGAGGACTCTTTCCTCTCCGCCGTTCCTCCCTTTAATCTCTCTCTTTCAGCACAGCGGAAAATGCCGCGTGTAGCCAGCTTGGTGTTTATGCGGCGGAGAGTTCGGGAGGTCACCGGTTCTTCAGGGGAAACAAAGAAGCTGGAGCTCATCTGGGCCTGAAGCACATCACAGCCTGGAGCTCTGAGTGAAGATTAAAGCGATAGTTTGACAAAAGTTAACCAAACGTAGTCGATCAGCCAAGATGTGGTTGGGTTTTGTACTGGAGCTACGAGGCTTATAGCGGCCAGTAGACTTGTGTGGATGCTATATGATGTGGATAATAAGGCAACGAGCCACCAGGGGCGATTTTATCACAGGGAAGGGGGTTTTTAAGAACCCTTGCCTGTAATAAAATCACTGTAACGCACGGCCTTAAGTGGCTCAGTGCTTTTATAAAACAGTGGCCAACATAAATGATGATAAAGTCCACAATTTCTCAGTAAATCATTTGTTATTATTAATAATAATTAACAAAAATAAGTATTCCGCCAAGAAATGTAGGTTCTTTAGTGTATGGTGTTGTTGCCAAGCAACCATGGACCTCTGAATGAGGAGAACGTTCGGTCGCCCATCACTGAATACAGAAACCTTGGTCACCAAATGACCACGGCAGGTCTTATTTAGCTCCAGTCCAGCGGCGCCCTCTTCTCACACTCGGGCTGAATCTCAAACGGCTCCCTGCTCCCTACATAGTGCACTACGTAGGAGTTTAAATACTCTTGTTTATCCGTGAGGTTTTTCTTCTTTTTCTCTCTCTCTCTCCTGTTTTCCGTGTCATGATTATCAGTTTAGCAGTGTTTTTCCGCTCCGCCGCAGCAATCACCTACAGTTACAGGTAAACTCGCTGTATTTCGGTTAATTACATGTAAATTGGCTAATGTTGCCCACCAGAGTCTATACTGATGAAAGAGGTCTAGCGAAAAAGTTAGAGATGAATATTAATCCTGTGATGATAAATGATCACTCGAGAAACATTTTGACCCAAATAGATTGAACACAGTGCTGCATCTGGAAGAAATATAAGATGAATAAGTCGAATCATGAAGTAGAAACTACACCACAGCCTAAAGTGGACTTTACGTGCTGGACAGTGACGAGACTGTCTAACTAAACTGCTAAAGAACTTCATTCAGGCTCCCATGTGTTCTTTTGTAGCTACTAATGAGAACACAAAACTTACCGAGTCAGAGCTGTTCACAGTGGTGGTGATAGGAACCAGACGTCCACCTCTAAAAGCTCCCTCACAGAAAGTTACTACATGAAATGGTTCTGAATTCACTGGCTGATGACCGAAACACTGTTTTATGGCCTATATTTTTCAAAATTCGTGGTGGATGGATATTTGCAGGACGTTTCATCGTCATCAACGTTCCATATAAACTCAGAAGACTCGTGTAGGTTCACTGGTGGTTCTGGATAGTAAATAAAATGTCTATATTAGTGTTGTAGTCATGGCGACCCCTGGTTCCCATCACCACCACTGTAAAGACATCTGAGTCTCTATAATCAACCCTTTCACACCAAACCGCTCTAAACTACTCTCAACTACTTATTTTGAAAAATTAATGGAATTTCAAAGCACTTCATTTACTGCCCAGTCCATACTGCGTATGCGTGGAAACTAAGCTGCAAAAACATACATATATCCACCTGTTCAGCCTACAGCAGGTCAGCCCCCGCCCCCGCTGTGTCCACTCACTGTCCACTCTATTAGACACTCCTACCTCGTCGGTCCACCTTGTAGACGTAAAGTCAGAGACGATAGCTCATCTGCTGCTGCACAGTTTGTGTTGGTCATCCTCTAGTCCTTCATCAGTGGTCACAGGACGCTGCCCACAGGACGCTGCTGGCTGGATATTTTTGGTTGGTGGACTATTCTCAGTCCAGCAGCGACACTGAGGTGTCTGATTCACTCAGACCAGCGCAACACACACTAACACACCACCACCACGTCAGTGTTACTGCAGTGCTGAGAATGACCCACCACCCAAATAGTACCTGCTCTGTGAGGGTCCATGGGGGTCCTGACCACTGAAGAACAGGGTAAAAGGGGGCTAACAAAGTATGCAGAGAAACAGATGGACTACAGTCTGTAACTGTAGAACTACAAAGTGCACCTATATAGTAAGTGGAGCTGATAAAGCGCTCTAGCCCCACCCTGGATTGATAAGAAATGTGTCAACCTGGTCTGCTTACATGGCAGCCATTCAACCACAATAAGGAGACCTCAGGTTTGGGCCCTTTAACGGTAGTTTTTCTTGTTTTTTTATTCTTCCCATCTGCAGTTTATCCAGTTTAAAGAGAAAAAAGGATGCATGTCCCTGAACGTTAACTAAAGATAAACACTGGTTAATCTCACCGTTTCCTTCCTCACAGAGCCGCAGAGCCGCTGTTTGGCCTTCGTTTAGCAAAATTTGGCCGCCGAATCACAAAGTGACTAATTGCAGTTAATTTCATAAAAGCGTATTTACAGTTAGTAACTCTTTCCTCGTTTGGCGTCTCCGCCGAGCTTCATTCTGGATATTTTTGCGCGTGGCACCGCTGTCAGAGTCATAATGAATGCACAGCATATGCCAGACAAAACAGTCCATCTGCCTTATCATAGCCGTAATTGCTCTTTTCTTCTGTTTTTTCTTTAATAAGTGACAGCCAAATGCATTATTCATTAATTGAACTTGCACAACACGGAGATGCATTTTGGCTGTCAGGAAGGTGGAGGATGGAGGGATGATGCTGCTGCTGCTGCTGCTGCTGTTTTTGCCTTTTTTCCTCTGCTTTCTCTCTTTTTCCTTCGACGCTCGCCCCGAGCCCTGAGCGTCGTGCATAATGTCGTTATGAGTCACATGCGTAGGGTGCGCGTGTGCATGTGCACTCGTGCATTCATTAGCGCTCGCTTTAGGCCTTTGGAGTCTGATTCGGTGGCGTAAACTAACGACAGAACCGCAGCTTGGGCTAATCGAGTCACGGGATTCCAGGAAGGTGCCGCTCGCGTAGATGATCTTCTAATCCTGCTCTGTTTCGAGGCGGCACACCCGCGGGAGCTCCGCCACTTCATTAGCTACTGGAGCTTCATCAACACGCTCGCCGGAGCCCGACGGGGAACCACAGATCTGCTGTGATTGTTTAGGATTATGAAATCTCACATTTCACTGAGATCTGATTCGTTAGGAGACGATTCAGTGCAAATTTTTGGTTTCATCACAATTTTTACCGCAATTCAGCTCAGTTCTGTTATTTAGGAAACGAGTCTGTTTATGCGACAAGTCGAGTTCAGAATGATTCAGTTCTGTTCTTTTAGAAACTAAAATGTTTTGTTACGTTTATGTTACATTTTTCCACGATTTGATTCATTTTGTGCGTCTTTAGATGTCATCGCGAATTAATCTGAAACCATTTAATAGTTTTGATTCTTTAAGAAATTATTTGAAATCTGAAATTTGACCCCAGTTTGAGTTCTGTTCAGTTTGTTGGGAAACAATTCAGTGCATCATGGAATTTCTGATTTCTTGAGGATTCGATTTGATTTAGGAAATGATTCAGTTCATCTTGAAATTTCAAATTTAGCTATAAATCAATTCAATTTGATTCAGTTCTTGAAGAGACAGTTCTCAGTGCATCTTGACATTTTTATTTTCACGACAATTCAGTTTTTGAATTTTACCGCAATTCAGCTCAGTACTTTTATTTAGGAAGCGAGTCTATTTATGCGATAAGTAGAGTTCACAATGATTCAGTCCTGTTTTTTTAGAAACTAAATTAAGTTTTGTTTGAAATTTGAAATTTCTTATCACGATTCAGTTTTATTCTAATGACAATCGTGTAATTAATTAGATTTTTTTGCGAAATTATTTGGAATCTCAAATTTGACCCCAGTTGGGATTCTTTTCATTTCAGTGGAAAACAGTTCAGTGCATCTTGAAATTTTTGATTTCACCACAATTCAGTTTTTCAAATTTTACTGCAATTCAATTCCGTTCTGTTATTTAGAAAACAAGTCTATTTATGCGATAAGTAGAGTTTCACAATGATTTGAATCTGTTCTTTAAGATATTAAATTAAGTTTCACATGAAATTTCAAATTTCAAATTGATTCAATTCATTTGATTCAGTCCCCCATGAAACGTGTCTTAAAGAAAATCATGGTGAATTTTGAAACGATCATATATTAAATAATTTATTGAAGAATCAAGCTGTATGGAATCGTGGTGTATTGAATCAGATGTAATGCATCTCGGGAATTTCAAATTTGAACACAGTTAAATTTGGTTCAGTACACCATGATTCAGTATAGTTTGATTCTTTAAGATATTAAATTAAATTAAATGTGATCATGTCAAAATTCAACATGATCCCAATCAATTAAATTCTTTAGGAAACCGATGTGTCAAAATGTGTCATCTCAGATTTGTCAATGATTTGATTCAATTTGATTCATTTCTTTAAGAAACGATTCACTGCATCTTAAAACTTTAGCACAATTTGATTTGATTTGATTCACCATGATTCAGTTTAATTTGATTCTTTAGGATATGATTCAGTGCATCATAAATTCATCGCAGTTCAGTTCAGTTTGACTCTTTACTGCATCATGACTGTCAGGTTTCACTGCGGTTTTGGGGTTTCCTGTGTTTGGGGTCATCAGCAGGACTGACACTCAGACTGAGTGTTTCTGAGAGTGTACACTTCAGTGAGTTCCTTAATGTGGTTCCTCAGCACGACACACACACACACACACACACACACACACACACACACACACACACACTCACACACCCACACACTCACAGCACACCAGCCCTCTGTTTATGGGGCCTCTGCTGTTTCAGTATGATACAGACTCTACCACTACGCTTTCTCTCCTTTTCTCTCCTCTCTCTCTCTCTCTCTCTCTCTCTCTCTCTGTCACTATCTCTCTCTCTCTATCTCTGTCACTCTTTCTCTCTTTCTGTTAAGGGAAAGATAATATTATAGATACAATAGTAGCTATAAATTAATCTATTTGCATAGTTATAGGTAATCAATAAAGTAAAAGAAAAATAAGAGTCAAAACAATTTCTAAATATGTGATAATCAGTAATAAACAATGTAAAAAATATAGCAGTTAATATACAGTAACATCTCTCTCTCTCTCTCTCTCTCTCTCTTCACTTCTCTCTGTCTCTCTCTCCTTTCTTCTGTCTCCATTTCTTTGATCCCTCTCTCTTGTTCTTTTTTAATCTCTCTCCTTCCCTTCTCTTTTCTCTTTCTTTCTATTTTTGTTCTCTTTCTGTCTCCCTCTCTTTCTCTTTTCTTTCACTCTTTTTCTCTTCTCTCTCTTTCTCTTTCTCTCTCCCTTTTCACTCTCTTTCTCTCTGTCTCTCTGTCTCTCTCTCTCTCTCTCTCTCTCCCTTTTCACTCTCTTTTTCTCTTTCTCTTCCTTTTCACTCTCTTTCTCTCTGTCTCTCTCTCTCTCTCTCCCTTTTCACTCTCTCTTTCTCTCTCTCTCTCTCTCACTTTTCACTCTCTTTCTCTTTGTCTCTGTCTCTTTGCCTCTCTCTCTCTCTCTCTCCCTTTTCACTCTCTTTCTCTCTTTCTCTTTGTCTCTCTCTCTCTCTCCCTTTTCACTCTCTTTCTCTTTGTCTCTGTCTCTTTGCCTCTCTCTCTCTCTCTCTCTCTCTCTCCCTTTTCACTCTCTTTCTCTCTTTCTCTTTGTCTCTCTCTCTCTCTCCCTTTTCACTCTCTTTCTCTCTTTCTCTTTGTCTCTCTCTCTCTCTCCCTTTTCAATTCAATTCAATTCAATTCAATAAGCTTTACTGGCAGGACCATATTCATTTACAGTATTGCCAAAGCATCATCAAAAGGAACAAGAAGAATTAACATTTAGAACAAGAGCACAAGAACTCTTAATTTCATTTGATATAAGAATAATTATGACAAGAATCACATAAAATAATAGCAAAAATAGTGCTTTGGACTATTTTTATTTATTTATTTATTTATTTATTTAAAGAGACTCTCTCTTTCTCTCTGCTTTCTTTTGCTGTCTCTGTCTCTTCTCTCCCCCTCCCTGCCTCTTCTCTTTCGGTCTTTTTCTGTCTGTCTCTCTCTTTCTCTCTCTCTCTCTCTCTCTCTCTCTCTCTCTCTCTCTCTCTCTCTCTCACACACACTCTGTATGCTGCTCTGCCTTTTTGTTTCCTCCTTGTTATTCTTTCTCCTCTTCCCACGTTCCGTCTTCTCTGTGTCCTCAAAGTCCCCGTCCGTATAGCTCAGCGAGAGTGAGAGAGAGAGAGAGAGAGGGAGAGAGAGAGAGAGAAGATTGAAAGATAAAGTCTGACAGCTCTGCAGAACAGCAGCCCGTCCCCCGCGTTAATAATGTCATTATGCCGGCTGGAGAGAGGCCGAGCGCCGTGAATGTGATCTGATTGTTCCTTTTAATGTCCTCACTGAACGCAGTTTGATCTGCACTGCATCTCCCGAAGTTTGTAGACGCCCGAGCGTCCAGCGTTTTCCCTGAAATCAGGGCTGTTAATCGGGAGTTTGCTGCAGTAACAGCCTCTGCTCTTCTGGGAAGGCTGTACACCAGAGCTGCGTTCCTAAAGCTGGGCTGCAGTCCTGTGGACGCTCCTCATTGGTATTCCGTAATGCAAAACGGGACGGTCCACCAAGACATCGGAAAGGAGCAAAGTTTGGTGGAGAGAATGCTGCTGATGCGCTTGCAGAACTGGCTTGTTTGTCATTAAATGCCATCCTACAGGCTGAATCCTGCTCAGCTGATCGAAAGCAGGTGCATTTCGTACCCTGCATTCGATTGATCAGCACCCTCTTATACAGATGAACTACAGAAACGGGGTTCTGTACATTTTACAGGCCTTTTTAAACAGTGTGTAGCACTTCTACTGTCAGTGTTGGACATCCTGTGGCCGATTTTAGATAATCCATATATCCAATATTATTATTTATCCTAGAACAAGGGTTGGCAACCCAAATGTTAAGAGCCATTTTGTTCCTTCAGCAAAAAAAAAAAACACACCTTGGGAGCCTCAACACTTTATATCCATTTTACCATCTTGGCTGTAAAGATGTCTCAGTATGTGCTGATGAACTAGTATAGGATAAAAAATATAAAATAAATGAAAACACAGACTCACTTTGCTCTACTTTAATCTTTAGCTCAGCTATAGCTGCTTTTCTCACATCTCCAGCAGGAAACTTTTCCTCAAAAGTTGAACTGTTTCTTGTAAAATGTCTATCAGCATTTATTTTTTTTGAGGCTGAAGTCGCTTCTTATTCACCAGGTTATTGTTTGAATTTTCCCGTTCCACCTTAAATGGTGCAGCAGGAGTCCTTAACGTCCTTAGTGATTTCCTGAGTGTCCGTCGGTCAGTTTCACACAGAATGTAGACGGACACATGAATCCACCAGTTCCACGCGGTGAGAGGCAGATGACGTGTATCTCAGCCCCTCTTCATAGGCTCATAACTCCGGACGTGAGTCTCGTATGATCTCGAGATAAGATGGAATGGAAAGGGCGACTCTACAGATTCAGGAAGTGTTTGAACTGGATTTCTGCACTTTATTGTAACAAAGAGAGAGAAACACATAGAGAAACATCAAATTTGGCACACGGGTGAGTTAGAGGACCCCAGAGGGTTACACAAGCTGTGGATGCGCCTTAAAATAGCTGAATTCACCATATAGAAGGGCTGTCTGGATACTTTTGGACATACAGTATAATAAGAATGAACATGAGGTGTCAAAAGTCTGTATTTCTGAAATGATTAGCGTCAGTCTGATCAGAAATCTCTCTGTTTTGCTTTCAGATGGCGACGGCTCTCAGGACCACCTGCTGCCGGTGTGCTTGGACAATACATGTGCGAAAAGCGCCATTTACTTGGCAAAACCGGGCCAAGCTGAGGTACATGACCCTCCATTATCGCTCCATCACACACATCTACCACATCCCTCTCTCCTTTTCTGCACTCCTCTGAGCTGGTTGGGTTAAAACCAGGGATTGGAGACTGTTTTAAACTCTGACCTGAGTAAAACCTTTTACTTCCACAGTCAGAGACCAGAGACCCTCCATATCAGTGCTGCCCACTGTGGGGCCAGAGTTCGAATCGTTTGAATTGGTCTGAAGGAAATCGATTCACTCGCTCAGACAATAAGAGAACACATTTTTATACAACGTCTGATTTTTCAGCTTTTTATTTGTCTTTGATTTCTGAAATATTTTTAACAAAACATTAATATAGCAGTAGTATAAGATGCAAGTAGTATAGTGTTAAAAATAAAATGGAAAACTATCTATTGCCTATAATCGTCTCTGGCTGCAACACAAATATAACAGCACGCACGCTGTATGGACAAAAGTATTGGGACACCTACACATCACACCCACAGGACCTTTTATGAATCCCAGTCTAAATCCATAGGCATTAATATGGAGCTGGTCCCCCTTCGCAGCTCTAACAGCTTCCACTCTTCTGGGAAGCTTCTACAAGATTTCGGAGTGTGTCTGTGGGAATTTCTGTCCATTCATCCAGAAGAGCATTTGAGAGGTCAGACACTGATGTTGGACGAGAGGGCCTGGCTCACAATCTCCGTTCTAGTTCATCCCAAAGGTGTGTGGTGGGGTTGAGGTCAGGGCTCTGTGAGGGCCAGTCAAGTTCTTCACACCAAACTCACCCAGTCAGGCCTTTATGGAGCTGCTTTGTGCACTGGGACTCAGTCATGCTGGGACAGGAAAGGTTCTTCCCCAAACTGTTCCACAAAGTTGGAAGCGACAATTGTCCAGAATGTCTTGGTGCTGAAGCATTAAGATTCCCCTTCACTGGAACTAAGGGTTCTAGACCAACCCCTGAAAAACAGCCCCATATCATCATCCCTCCTCCACCAAACTCTACAGCTGGCACAGTGCAGTCAGGCAGGTAAGGTTCTCCTGGCATTCGCCAAACCCAGACTCGTCCATCAGACTGACAGGTAGAGAAGCTGATTCATCATTCCACAGAACACGTTTCCACTGATCCAGAGTCCAGTGGCGGCGCTTTACACCACTAAATCCAACACTTGGCATTGTCCATTTTGATCTTAGGCCTGTGTGCAGCTGCTCAGCCATAGAAACCCATTTCATGAAGCTCCTAATGTGGAGTTCTTTTGCTGATGTTGCTTCCAGAGGCAGTTTGGAGCTCTTTGGTGATTCAACAGAGGATAGGCGCTGTGTGAGTTTGGTGGTCTTCCGCTTCGTGGCTGAGCTGTTGTTGCTCCTAAACTCCATTTCACCATAATAGCACTTACAGTTGTCTGGGGCAGATCTAGCAGGACAGACATTTGACAAACTGACTTGTGGCAGAGGCGGCATCCTATAACAGAGCCATGTTTAAGGTCACTGAGCTCATCAGTTCGACCCTCTACTGCCAGTGTTCGTCTATGGAGACTGCAAGACTATGAGCTTAATTGTATCCACCTGTTAGAAATGGGTGTGACTGAAACACCTGAACTCAATAATTAGATGTGTCCCAATTCTTTTGTCTATATAGTGCATGTACCTCGTTACTCAGAATCTCATTACATTAAAGTGTCCATATCATGTAAAAATTAGATTTGTGTGTTGTATGTAAACACCGTTAGTTTCAAATTCACTCGCTCCCCATTCCTTAAAGCCCATATGTAGAAAATAAGCTGCAAAAACAACACTGTTTATTTTAATTTCACAAAAACCAGCACATTTTCTCATCTGCCTTTTCTGCCTACAGTCTTAAGTCTTAAAGAAACGGTAATAAGAACACTGTACACATGTATCATGACTATATTTGGTACATGAACCTGTTAAAACATCAGAATTGGATCTCAGGGAGAAAAATACAGAAGGAAAATGTAGGAAATGGGCCCTTTAACGTGCACTGAAGTTTTTACAGCCCCCTATTGGCCTTATTAGATAATAACATAATGATTTTAAAAATTATTCCCCTGTAACCCTGAACTAGGACTCTGCTGTCTCTCTGAAATGCTGTGACTCTGTGTTGAGCTGCTAGTGAGCAATGAGGGCGAAAGGCGAGGGGTGAAAACCCCTTAATGTGAAAAACTATTCACACCTGCAACTTTCTTCATATTAAACAGTTCTGCACAGCTGACATCATAAACACACAGCGTTTAAACACAATAACACTCATAATTGTGGACCTCTGTCACCTACAGACAGTTCGCTTCTGTTCTGTGAATCACTTCTATAAAAATATATTCCATCACCATCATTGAGGGGAAAAAAGCAGAGCGTAGAAACTGACGGAGCTCCAGACAGGGGGGGAATTGTGTTTTATGGCTGCTGTAAAAGGAGGTTATGACTGTTTTCTTCTCCTGTAAAGTTGCTGCTTCAGTGATGTGAAAATGCTGATATTTACTCCATATATTAACTAATTATTATCTCATATTTCTGTCAGTGTTCACTCTCTTTAGCTGACAGCTAATGATCTGAGTGTTAGAGGCACAACACAAAGAGGACACACACACACATACACACACACTGTGTGTCTGCTTTTGTTTGACTTTCCTACCTTGGAGGAGAAGAGGAATAGAGAGAGAGAGAGAGAGTGGTAAAGAAATTAACACTCAGAGTAAATTAAAATGCTATCAGGCCCTAAAAACAGAATATGAATTGGAAGAGTATCTCCTGACTGTCAGAGATACAAAGCAGAGACAGATCCTGACCAAGTACAGACTCAGTGACCACAGCCTGGCCATAGAACAGGGCAGGTATAAAAAGTCCTGGCTGCCCAGAGAGGAGAGGTGGTGTGGTCACTGTCTGACAGGTGAGGTTGAGACAGAGATGCACTTTCTTGTTCACTGTGAAAAATACAAACAAACAAGGGAAATTTACACAAACGAATTTAAAAAATTAATCCCAAATTTTGAAAAATGTACAGAATTGGAGAAATTATGAATATTCCTTGGAGAGGGGCTCACAGCTCACAGCCCCCCTCGCTGCCAAATACATAACAACATGCCACCGCCTGAGAGACAGCGGGTAACAGCCCCCCCATACCCCCACCCTCCTGACCTCCATCCCACATACCCCACTCCACTTACCCACACCCTCCATACCCCCATTCCACCTACGCCCACCCTCCATACCCCACTCCACTTACCCCCACCCTCCATACCCCCACTCCACCCTCCCCCACTCCACTTACCCCCCACCCTCCATACCCCACTCCTCTGACCCCCAACATTGCAAATGTCATTAGTTTACTAATTTGTATGGTTATAATTATAAACAGTGATAATAATAATACTGTAATATTATGATTATAATAATTAATATGGTCATTATTTATGTTGGTTCTTTTATCTTATTCTGTTTTTCATTACTGTTTTTGTTGTTCACTTCTACTGTTGTGATGCTTTAGCAATACTGTACCTCACAGTCATGCTAATAAAGCTATTCTGAACAGAGAGAAAAAGAGAGGGAGAGAGATAGGCACGTATAGAGAAATAGAGAGAGAGGGAGAGAGATAGGCACGTATAGAGAAATAGAGACAGAGGGAGAGAGATAGGCACGTATAGAGAAATACAGAGAGAGGGAGAGAGATAGGCACATATAGAGAAATAGAGACAGAGGGAGAGAGATAGGCACGTATAGAGAAATACAGAGAGAGGGAGAGAGATAGGCACGTATAGAGAAATACAGAGAGAGGGAGAGAGATAGGCACGTATAGAGAAATACAGAGAGAGGGTGAGAGATAGGCACGTATAGAGAAATACAGAGAGAGGGAGAGAGATAGGCACGTATAGAGAAATACAGAGAGAGGGAGAGAGATAGGCACGTATAGAGAAATACAGAGAGAGGGTGAGAGATAGGCACATATAGAGAAATACAGAGAGAGGGAGAGAGATAGGCACATATAGAGAAATACAGAGAGAGGGAGAGAGAGGCACGTATAGAGAAATACAGAGAGAGGGTGAGAGATAGGCACGTATAGAGAAATACAGAGAGAGAAAGAGTGCAATATGCACAGATAGAGAAAGGTGTAGTGTGGCGAGGAAAGATGGAGATGGAATGAGAGAGAGAGGGAGAGAGAAAAGGTCAAAACAATGTAGAGGGAGACTCAGAGAGAGAGAGAGCACAGAGGAGAGATAGTGACAAAGATGGAGAGAAGAAGAGAGAAAATGAGGGACGAAGATGTAGAGAGATGGAAAAAAAGGACAATAAGAGAAACAGAGAAACGGAAAGCAAGAATGATCAGGGAGAGCGAGGGAGAGAGAGAGAGCAAAGAAGAGAAAGAGAGAGAAAAGGTGGAAGAAAGAGAGCAAACAAGGAATAGAGACAGAAGAGAGGGAGAGAGAGCAAGGGAGAATGATGGAAAGAGAGAGAGGAGAGAGAGAGAGAAGCGTGCCTGTTTTCGTTGTCCTGTCACGGCTGATGGTTTTATTTGTCTGAGACAGAGTAAGTTTTTTTTTGGTTTGTTTTTTTTTTCTCCATTTTTTTCCCCCATTTTTCATCATTTCTCTTCCTCCATCTGTTCCTTTTCTGTCCTTCTTTCTCTATTTCTCCACCTTCCTATCTCTTCTTTTCCATCCTTCTACATCCACTATTAATATACATATTACTGACACAGGAGTTCAGCTGTTAGTGTGTTTAATCTCCATAGAAAAGCATTGATCAATAGAATCAGCTGCACATGAGCCTGAGGTCACTATGATCAGTGCCCAGCGTGGGACTAGAGGGGTATAAAGCCCCCCACATTGGGCTGTGGAGCAGTGGAACTGTGTTCTCTGGAGTGATGGAGCTCCATCCAATACCTTTGGGATGAGTTAGTGATCCAGAACTGACCATCCAGCATCAGTACCTGACCTCACTAATGATCAAATCCTCACAGCAATGTTCAACATCTAGTGTACAGCCTTCCCAGATAAGTAGAG